CCAACACAGGTTCATGAAAGGCAGGTTGTGCTTGACCAACCTCATCTCCTTCTACAGCTGGGTGACCAGACTGGTGGATGAGGCAAAGGCTAGTTTACCTAGACTTCAGCAAAGCCTTTGACACAGTCTCTCACAGGCTGCCCATGGACAGGTATACCATTTGTTGGGTAAGGAACTGGCTAGAGGGCCATGCCCAAGGGGTAGTAGTTAATGGGGTTAAGTCCAGCTGGTGACCCGTTATAAGTGGTGTCCTCTAGGGGTCAGTACTGGGGTCCGTCTTGTTTAATGTCTTTATTGATGACCTAGATGAAGAGATTGAGTATAAGTTCAGTAAGTTTGCAGTTGACACCAAGTTGGGAGGTGGTGTTGATCTGCCTGAGGGTAGGAAGACCCTCAGGGATCTAGATAAGCTGGATCGCTGGGCTGAGGTGAATGGGATGAGGTTCAACAAGGCCAAGTGCTGGGACCTGCACTTCCACAATAATTCCATGTAGTGCTACAGGCTTGGGGATGAGTGGCTGGATGACTGTGAAGAGGAAAGGGACATGGGGGTGTTGATGCTTGACTGAACATGAGCTGACAGTGTGCCCAGGTGGCCATGAGGGCCAACAGCATCATGGCCTGCATTAGAAATAGCGTGGCCAGCAGGAGCAGGCAGGTAATCATCCCCTTGTCCTCAGCACTGGTGAGGCCGCATCTCGAGTATCGTGTTCAGTTTTGGGTCCCTCACTACAAAAAAGACATTGGGGTCCTGGAGTGTGTTCAGAGAAGGGTAACAAAACTGGAGAGGGATCTGGAGCACAAATCTTATGAGGAGTGTCTGAGGGAGCTGGGATTGTTTCTTTTGGAAAAGAGGAGGCTCAAGGGAGACCTCATTGCACCCTACAACTTCCTGAAAGGAGGTTGTCATGAGGAGGGGTTTGGCCTCTTCTCCCAGGCAACAAACAGGACCTGAGGAAATGGCCACAAGTTGTACCAGAGGAGGTTTAGGTTAGACATAAGGAAAATCTTTTTCTTTCAGAGAGTATTCAGGCACTGGAATGGCTGCCCTGGGAGGTGGTAGAGTCGCCGCCCTGGCAGTGTTCAAGAGGCACTTGGATGAGCAGTTACAAGATATGGTTTAGTGCTTGTGGTAGCAATGGTAATGGGAGGATGGTTGGATTAGCTGATCTTGTAGGTCCTTTCCAACCTTGTGATTCTATGAACTGTTGGGCCTTATTTCTTGTTTTCTTTTCTTGAACTTAGATGACTTTCACCCGCCCAGCCAATCACAGACAGCTCACTTTTGAGGAGATTGCTAAGAGTGCCAAAATCACTGTGAATGAGGTGAGTTCAGAGTTAGACCAATGTTTTGATGCTGAGGTTTTCAAGTTCTAAAACCTTCTGACTGGATCCACTCCCTCAGGTGATCTCTAAGTGTGAATCTTCTCCCCTGTTCTTGTGTGTTTGGAGAACTCTGTTAGAAGAAATTGTTCCTGTCAGTTAATAAGTGGATGTGGAAGATTCTTAGGCATCTGTTCTAACCTGTTTTTGCAGGCAGGACTTTCATTTATATTATCCAAGACTCTGTCAAGCTGTGTTGACTGTTTCCAGCAAGGAGAGATTCTGCCATGTCACTGGTGTTTAATTTTTCTCACTGTGAAGAATTTATTGTTTATTCAGCTAGAATCCTCTCTGAAACAGCTTCTGCTGCTTGTTTCCCCTCTTTTCACTGTGTGTCCATGTGAGAATAGCACCTCCATGTTCTCTGTTGCTGCCTTTTAAATGTTGAAAGGCTATGATGAGGATTCCCTTGGTCTTCTTCCATCTAGGCTCAGGACTTCATGCTTGTTGTTACTGAGCTAAGAAGAATTGTGTAGTATGATCTATAGAGATCTGTCTTATGGTGGCTCTTATTTCCAGCATCTCTACCTCTCCTACCACTTTGGTGTCATCTGCAAATTTGCAATCCTGCTAGTGTTAAAGAGTATTTATTAGTATTGGACCCAGTGTCAACTCATGAGAAACTCTGTAATCAGCTGCCTACTCAACTCTGAGACATTAACCCTGCCTTTGAACTTGCAGGAACAACCTGCTAAAACTCTCATCCTGTCATCTCTCTGTATGCTCTAACTAGGTTGTTCAGCAAGGATGTGGTAAAAGTTCTTGTTGAATATCTTGCAAAAAGAAAGATGCAGCTCCTCACCCACTGTACAAATTATTTTATTTAAAGCAAGATGGGTATGAGAGATGCTGCAGGCCTTGATCTTTTTTTTTTTTTTTGCTTAAAAAAATCACAGACTGGACCCATTTAAAGGTTTTGTACATCTCTAGGAAAATGGGTGATCCCCTGTTTTCTTGATATTTTTTTCCTTTTCTTTTTTTTAAGGTGGAACTGCTGGTGATGAAGGCGCTCTCAGTAGGCTTGGTAAAGGGCAGTATTGATGAAGTGGATAAGAGGGTGCACATGACATGGGTGCAGCCACGTGTGTTGGATTTACATCAGGTAATGACTAGGTGGAATACTGTGGCAGTATTGATATATTTTCTTGTGCCTTAGTTGACCTGGAAGCTGAAATAAGGACTGCTAAAGGTCACTGAGAATGGATCTTTATTGCTCCTTGAAGGTGTGCAGGGAACTCAGAACTATATCAGCTTTTCTTCCATTATTTACATTGCCTTTAGCTTTTTCCTTGCGTATATGGTGCATCTGTATCTGTTTTGCAGTAACTGCTTACAATATGTGAGGATATAGACTGATAGAAACACTTTACTTTGAAAAACCACCCAAACCACCAGAAAACTTCAATGAGGTGACTGCTTTCCAGGATGTGGCTCCTTCAAACAGAAATGTGTGGAAGAAATGAGCTGCAGCTGGTGGTCTTGTCTCAGGAAGAGACAGGAAGAGTTCAGGGTGATAAAGACAGAAGGTGCTGAGTTTCTCAAGTTTACCTTCGTAACAAATGTTCTGAGAAGTTGGAGATCTCAAGTATTTTGCCTTTTATAGGTCTGTAGTGATTGGAGCGGTCAAGTTACTGTGGGTTTGTCTTCCAGATCAAAGGAATGAAAGATCGCCTGGAGTTCTGGTGCACAGATGTGAGAAGCATGGAGATGTTGGTGGAGCATCAAGCCCATGACATCCTGACATAGAGGACCTTGCACTATCCTGGGAGAGGAATTTCTACTGCTACTGATGCTAGCAGCACTCAGACCACTGACTCTGTACTGAATTATATTGAAGGGGGGTGGGTGGGCAAAGGGGAGAGCAGCTTTATGACACGTGTTCGGAGGAGTAAGTGGCCTTTTGCTATGTAACCCTTTGGTGCTTGGAGTCAAGATTTCCCTATGCGCTAACATTAGTGGCACTGACCATGGGAGCTCCCATCCTGCTCTCAAACAAAGAGGTCAGAGGCTCCGTGGTGACTGATTTATCAGTCCTGCTGTCAAACTGTGGGAGGATGTGAATATTCATTGCATGTTACAGGAGTGGAGGCTATTTGCCCACTAAGGGGGTAGCAGAAGCTCCTCTATAAAATGTGCTAGAGAGGTGCCTGACCATTGTATGTGATATTACTTAGTGGTGTTGGCCTTAGGAGGGCATGACCTTCCCTGGTACTCTCTCCCTCCCTGCCCTGCAGCAGCCTGAAGGCAGCTTTATCAAAATCATTTCTATTGCCCTCTTTCTCCACAGTCCCTCCTCTTCATTTGCAGTAGGGGGAGTGTTTACTCCATCAAAGGGTTTTTTCCAGGATTACCATTCAGTGGATTTGGTTTTATATACTTCTGGGGGTGGTTGTCTTTTACGAACACTTTGTGCTAAAGTGAATTGCAGCAGTATTGCTGGAATAAACTACTCTGCCTTCCCTTTTCTGTAGTTCTGTAGTGCTTCTTTTGTAGTTGGGTCTCTGGACTGATTACAAATACGCTTCCTTTAGAGTTTTGTATTTAGAAAAGCAACAACAACATAACCTTTTTCCCAGAGCAGTGCAGATTAAATTAGTCTGTGAATCACCAGCAGCATGTAATTCACTTAGTATGTAGAACTTTAGTACGCATGTACTTTATTTTCAAGTTTTTTTTCTTTCTGGTAAGCTGTGTGATGCCTTCTCTCAAGAAAGTATCACTGCAAAGATCTGAGGGAGGCCTGAGATGACATAGTGGTTTTGGGGGTTTAGTTTTGTGATTTTTTTTTTTTTAACTCTTAACTTTTAAAACTTCCTGTAATTTGTTTTACTCTACTATTGCAGATGTGTTTATAAGGACAGAAGATGATTGTGCACATCAAGAATGTGAACCACGTTTGAAAGGGGGCTGTGTCCAAGTAATCATTTGGATGCACAGTACTTGATAATACATGGTGTAGTAATTGAACAGTGGTGTAATAGCAAGATTTGTAACAGTAATTTTAAACTGAACAGGACCATGTTAGTGTAACTAGATACTTTTTTTTTTTAAGATTTAAATTGTTTGTTTTTTTTTTAAATGCTGCTGCTGCCTATGCAGCCATGGGTAGTTTTTGGTTCAGTGCTAACCTGATTGCTGCTGTGATTCAGGTGCCTTATGTGGCATTTTGATTCTCTGATGATTAAATATGCTGCGTCACCAATACAGAAATGTTGATCCTTACGATGTTTTCTCAAGGTTGCTGTCTTGACTCTGGATTTAATGCCAGCAACTGGAAAAAGAAAGAATGTGGCTGATGCTGTGCTGCTGTGTTGGTGCTAAGATGTCTTGGACAAGGAAGAATTAAGCTTTGAAAAAACAACAAAACCAATATTGTTGAACCCTACATCTTGTTGTGCCCCACCCTACTTCCTCTAATCAGATTTGTTCCAAATTTCCTCTTGGTTCAGAGTGACTCCGTTCTGAATGCCTGCCCCTTCCTTCCCCAGTCATTGGCTGTTATGTTTTGCTCTGCCCTGCTAGCTCAGCTGTCAGATTGTGTGGCACCAGGAAAAGAGAACAAACCCATTTTCCTGCAATGGTGCACATGGTCCAAGAAAAAACAGTGGAGCCAGATGTTTCATGCCAACGTGAGTTTTAATGAACATGCTCAGAGGGTTCTTCCCTGCGTGAAGACTTGTTCTGTGATCTCAGTTCTTCTCCTCAGTCTGCTCTGCTCTTGTAGTGCTTCACATTGGCCAGGACCCAGCCTGCAGGTCCCAGCAGACATGTGAACATCACAGTCATTGCGATGGCTTGCTCCTGCCAGCAGGGAAGGGAAGGCAAGGATTAGAGAGGAGACTGCATGTGTGGGATTTCCAAGATGAAGGCACACTAGCACAGTGCCTAATGCAATCTGTTGCATTTCTCCTTACTCTTTTTGGGCTCAGATGAATGCCCCTTTGGGCTGTGGGAGGAAGTTTGGGTAAGCCCTGCAGCTCCCTCCAGCAGCAGCTTATGCTGGCCACTCTCTGAGTTGGTTCCTATTGCTCTGTCTTTCTTAGTCATATATTGGCTGGGGAATCAGAGCGACTGGTGGCTGTCAGTCAGCAGTGGGACCCAGGCCTGGGCTCACAGCATTGCTGAATCAGCTGTGCCTGACTTTCAGATGACTTTGAGAAGGGAAGAGTGGCCTGCAGAGGTCTCTACCATTCCTGGCACACAAGGGCAGCACTTACCCCCTTGTGCTGTCCCTTTTATCTATTATTTTCTAAAAGAAGAGACAGGGCTTGGGGAGCAGCTCTCTCTCCTGGGAGTGGCAGACTTTGTAAAGGTAAACTTCCCAAACCAAGGCTGGTGGTAAGAACCATCCAGGATTTCTGACATAAGGTTCCTTCTTCCTACCTCCTCTCACCTGGCCCAGGAGGGTCCCTGCATATGCTGTTTGGGTAGGAGGGTAATCCCCACTGCAGAAGGAAAGAGTGGTGCCAAGACCCAGCCCTGCACTGCCAGCAGCTCCCCCTGCCCTTGAGGACAGTTGCTGTGGCAGTAAGCACCCCCTGGAATTGGTGGTTGGGGGAGGTAATAGGACATGGGGCTGCCTGGAAGTACTGGTGGGGGACCACTGCTACCTTCTTCCTAGTGCTTTCAGGCTGCTCAAGGGGGGGATCCACTTTGGCTGTGTCACTGAAAGTTCCTTCTTACTCCCACTTCCAAACACACAAACTTTGCTTTAAATTCCCAAGAAAGACATTGATCTGTGACCCCAGCTTCTTCCCTCTCCCCCATCCCCTTGTTCCTCTCAAGCCCCCCAACGGCTACTTACAGCAGGAGAGACAGGGTGCTCAGGTGGCTTGGAGGTGACCCCAGCCCGGGGAACCTTCTGTGCCTGCAGCAGTGCAGCCAGTAACCAGGAGCCCCTCTGGAAGCCCTGCATGGCGCTGACGCACTGAATGCCTTCTTGCTGGGCTGCAGCTGCGTGCCCTGCTGCTGTCACCACTGGGCACAGGGCCCAGGGCTCTCCTGAGAGCTGCAGGGGCATGTAAATGTCAGGGTCTTCCTAAAGGGCTCTGTTTTCATCCTTTGTCTGGAATGCTTCCTCCTCCTTTCCTTCCTTCCTTCCTCCTTCCTTCTTTTTTTTCCTCCACCTCCAGGGGGAAGAGAGAGGGCACCACAGAAAGATCTCTGGCTGAAGAGCAAACCTATTTTTGGGGGGGTTTTCTTTAATCCATACAATTGTGAAATGCATCCTTGGAGTGATGCAGATCTGATGCGTGAAATCACTTGTCCAAATCATGGCTTCTCTTTCTTCTCTTGGGGCTCAATGGATGCATAGGCTCATAATCGCATGCATGCGGGTGTTTGCATAGAATCTTGGAGGCCTTTTCCAACCCTAATAACTCTGTGCCTATCAAGTCCAGCCATCAACTCATCATCACCATACCCACTAAACCATGTCCCTAAATGGAATCATTAAGATTGAAAAAGACCTCACAGGTCACCAAGGCCATCAACACATCACTACCATACCCGCTAAGCCATGTCCAAGTGCCTCAATGTAGTATTGTCTGTCCTGCAAGTTGTGGACTGTCAAAGCTGCCAGCTGAAGCTTTCTGCTTGCCCTGACCCTGCAGCAGAAAGGGTTGGAAGGCTCCAGCCTGGCTCTTGCCCCCATGGTGTGCAGAGGAAAAAGTTGTGTCCTTTCCCTTTGACATGTCCCTGCTTTGCTGAATAACCCGGCTTTGTTCTCTCCTTACAAACAGCTCCATAGAAGGGCTGCCAGCAGTCATAGAGCTGGGAATGCTGCTTTTCTCTCCACGACCCCTGTGGTGCAGATGGGTTTGGAGTTGGGTGCCACACCAAAGGTTTGCTTCCCAAACACCGATGGCAGCTTGGGTCAGGTATTGGCTTTTGATGGATTTGCAGCGCGTGGAACAGCTGTGAGTATTTACTCCATCAGCACAGGATTGATAATCGTCTTGAAGCAGCAGCCCAGAGGCAGGGGGTTGCTAGGAGAGGCCCAGCATCTGGCTGCTGTACTCTCCATGTCTCTGTTCATCCACAAGGAACCGACCTTAGATCTTTCTGCTCAGTGAGATTTGTTTGTTCCTATGAGTGCCACATGGGCTGTGCTCTCACTCTTCTCTTTTGATGGAGTGCAAATGCACATCTGCAGAGAAGTGCTCGCCTCCCTTTGCTGAAGGAGATGATAAGGGATGAGTTTTGGGCATTGCAGCCTGTCTATACCAGCACGCAGGGACAGGGAATTGAAATCAGGGTACTCCAGTACTCTGCCTGTTTGTGGGGTTTAAACAACACCAAAAGGCACTGGGGTTGGAGGAATGGGGATGGATGGTGCCTGTACCTTTATCACGCTGCAAGTCAGGGCGGGGGCCTCTGGCACTGGAAAAAATTGCAATGCTAGCACAAGTTCAAAGACTGGAAACTTATACAGCAGTAAAGCTGGGTTGAAAAAGCCTGGCTCTTCAGCAGGTAAGCAAGAAGGTCACAGCCTGGTCAGAGACAAAGGGTGGCTCTTGTCAGTGATTGCTTACATTGATGATCCCTCAGGGAGTGTTACTCTGGCTCTCTGCCAGGAACCCAACCGTCGTTGCATTTCCTGGATTGCTTTTGCCCGACCACTTTTCTCTTTCGGTTCCTCCCTGCATAGTTCTGTGCTGATCACAGTTCCTCTGAGCAAACCCATGCTCCAGGATCAAGGTTGTTTGATTTTGCTAGTAAGGAAGGGGAGGTAAGAAAGCAATTTCCTTCCTCCTGTGTTGAGCAACTTCCGCTGTTCCCTGTGCAGGGCCCCACGGCAGCAGCTTTCACCCGGCAGTGGCTTTTACCGAAACGCAAGGCAAGGCCTCACCCGCACACCTGCCACACCCTTCACCCCCCCAGCAGGCAGGAGGAAGGCTTTCCTCGCCATCCAAACTCCTGACGCCAGCAGACTACGCTTACCCTGTGAGCTTTGGGGCACAGCCTGCCCATGTCCCATCTCTGTGGTTTTTGGTGTTATTGCAGTGCTGAGTACAACCAGCTGCTGTTTACAAGGCGCTGTTTGTATGTTTGTGGAGACATACCCCAAAATTCATTAATTATAAAACTCCTGCCCCAGCCAGCTGATAGCATGCTGAGCTGGAGATAAAAGAGTGAAGTGTAGGAGTAGTATGAGGATAAAGGATAAATGAATACTTGATAATGTTGGGAGGAAGATGGCCATGTGACAGGATGTGTTGGGAGAAATTGGTGAGACCCCAGCCTGGAGAGGGCAACAGAAGAGGGGAAAAACTGGAAAAGCAACAAAAGAAATGAGCATGTGAGGTTTGGGTAAGGTAGGCAGGCCACCTAGAGATGTCTGAAGCTTCACAAAGGGAAATGAGCCTGTGTGGAGCAATCCCACCTGAGAAACTGGAAGGAAAGCTGGGATGGAGGAAAGCCACGGGATGGAGGCTCTGGTGGGAACCATTGGCATCGCCCTGTCCAACCCACCTCTGATTTTTTGTTGTCTTCTTTTTCCTTTAATTTTGCAGCTTTGGCTGGTTATGGCTGATGGCAAGGAGGACCCTGCTGTGTTCACCTCTACTTGTTTGCCCTCGGACCCACGGCTCCTTGCTACGGTGACTAATGCTTACTTGGGCACACGTGTCTACCGCAACATCCTCCATGTCAATGGTGTGTACAATGGGGCGGTGGGGGACACACATCGTGCTGACATCCCCAGTCCAGTCAACGTGAAGATGACAGTGCCTGATGGGGATGTACCTGTTGAGACCTTCAGCTTGAACACACGGACAGGTAAAGAACAATGCATGCTTCATCTTTCTGTTGTTAAAAGATGTTTGGTCAATAAACTCAATAGTTTATGAACAAATTGGATGAATTGTACCCTAAATTTTATTGACTCTCATAGATGTCCAACTGCATTGTTCAGGTGCAGGGATTTGTTTTGTAGACATCTAGTGACAGTGTTATGTAAACTCCATTACATGTTTCTAACAGAGCTAGAAGCTGATATGGCACTGTTTTTTCTCTTATCTTTGGACAGCTCTGATCTTGGTAGAACATTGGGAAGTATAATTGGGAGAATGGCAAGGAGGGTGCTCTTTCTGGGAGCACTCATTTTGCAGATTTCAGGTCTGAGCTGTATGGAATACTAAGTAATCTCTAAGTAATGCAGTGGACACAGCATGCAGAAGGCCTTACTGTCCCACATTATTCTTCTAATTTGGTGTAGGAGCAAGCGGAGAAAAGAGCTAGCAAATTTGAGACCATATCCCAGCCCCTGCTGGTGCTAAGCTCAGCAAGTGCTGCTCGATCACAAAGCTTAGTAAAATATATTATGGCACAAATCACTCCTCATCAGCTTGGTCAAATTAAGGGTGTTAACAGTATTGCCCAGTCAAGACTTATGTTTGGATCTGAACCTGGGAAAGACAGTTCCATTGCCAATAGGAACTGGTAGAACTGGGAGACTAAGGTAGAACATCAGGACCCAATGGTTAAAAAGACTCTTGTTACAGGAACCTTCAGCCATAAGCTTCAGTCACCCAGTTATACAGCCACGCACAGGATCTATGCCCACCATTCCCTCGTCCACCTGATGGCCTTCAGCATCACCATCCGGCGATCAGCTGGCACCAGCCAGCCCATCACTGTGCAGCTCCAGACTCCTTTTGTGCCAAAAAGCCAAGACTTGGACCTGCAGCAAGGACCGGACTTCCAGGGAGCACAGTGAGTGTGGGCCATGGGCGAAAGAGCTTAACTCTGAATGAGTCCTTCCTAGGCTGTATCATGTTGCTTTGCTCACAGATGGGAGACAAACTGAAAATATACAGCTAGAGCTAGAATGAAATGGTAACTGTCATTGAGGTTTGTGCACATCTGCTTCTTTCTTCCAGGCAAGGCAAAAAGAATTAAATATAGAAACTTTTTATTAGTTGTGACTCTGAAATTACTACTTATGCTTACGTGTAAAATGGCATCAGAGACCACAGAAACCACAGAGGCTACACATGGTTACAAAGAGATGAGTTTGGGAAAGATAGTGAGCTTGAAGGAGACAACCTTTAAACATGGCTTCCATGAAGGAGCTGTAATCAGTCTGTTATCTGATAGGAACAGGGGAAAGATACTCAGCTACTGGGGACAGTTCAGTGTGCATGGCTGCCCTGCAGAGCTGTGGGTGCCCCATCCCTGGAGATGCCCAAAGCCATGCTGGATGGGGCCTTGGGCAGCCTGAGTTGCTGGGAGGCATGCAGCTCATAGCAGGTTTGGGGTTGGTGGTCTTTGAGGTCACAGAATCACAGAATGGCCTAGGTTGGAAGGAACCTCAAGGATCATGAATCTCCAACCCTCCCGCCACAGGCAGGGCCACTAACCTTCACATTTAATACTAGACCAGGCTGCCCACGGTCCCATCCAACTTGGCCTTGAACACCTCCAACTCAACCCCAACTCCTCCGTTTCAATATGGTATAAGAAGTGGAGCTAGTTAATTACTGGAGCTTATTGCTGCAGATGTTTGATGGAAATAGAGGGCAGAACTAACTCCTCCTAGGTCACTTCCATCCTAACCGTTCTGTGGTTCTATATGCACAGTACCATCTGCTTTGCTCTCCCTTTCCCTATTCCTCGCCATCTCCTGCAGCTATGTCTATGGGCAGACACTGGTTCCTGAGGTGGAGGGGGGACCCCAGCCCACTGTGCATATGCTCTGGACTCCTGTGCCACAAGCTGTCACCTTGTATGAGGAGGAGCAGGAGCAACGCTGGGAGTTCCTGACAGCTGTGGCTGAGAGTGAGGAGGAGGCCAAGAGGAGCTACAGCGAAGGGCTGGCACGCATGGCAGCTGGCTCCCTGCACTCCTCCCATACCCGTGCCTGGGCTGCTCTGTGGAGAGGGTGCTGTATGGACCTGAAAGGCCCACTGCCTTTGAGACAGGCCATCTATGGGTGTCTCTATTACCTGCTGAGTGCCATCCCCCCCCAAGATACACCGGGATTCCTCTTCCACGGCATCAGTCCTGGTGGCTTGTCCAATGGCACACGGGGCGAGGACTACTGGGGGCACATCTTCTGGGATCAGGTGGGTTGAGGCAGTGCTGGTATTCACTTGGGGGCTGTGAGGAATGACTGGGGTAGAGAGCTTCAGCATGGGACTGCTGGTCTCCTTACTGGCAATAGGAATGTTTGGCAGTGGTCTCTTGTAGAAGGGCATCCTTCTTCTCCTTTGGAAACACCCACTGAAGTCCACCTTCATCCATGGAGCCCCTGATCCCTTTGTCGACATAAAATCTGAAGCACAGATTGGGTTGCTCACATAAGAGAGACCAATGCAAAGGGATCTTCAGCAACTAGTTTAGAGTAAGGTCACCAAATTTTTGCTTCTTTAAATGAATTGACACCTGCCCACCTCCTCCCAGTGTTAGTGACAGCAGTGAGCCCTGTTTTGCCCAAAATATTTTTTCTGCTATGGGTGCATTCCTCTTTTCAAGTTAAGTTTGGTGTGTACTCGATAAACAAGTTGGTCTGGATGGCTTTTCCCCAGCAAGAGGCTTGGGTTTTCTCTCAGAGCAGCCACACCAAATGAGTATACACAGCACTGCAGTTGAATATTTCATGTGTGATGTGGACAGGAAGGACAACTGGATGGTGCCGAGACTCCTACCTACTCTGGTCTTTCAATGGGCAAGGGCTTTTCAGTCCTGTGGACCTTGTTGGCTTTCCTTCTGGCAAAATGTGGTTTTGACCCATCAGATTCTCTGGCCTTCCCTCTCTAGCATGGCAGGAGATCCTGCTGGGCTTATCCTAGTGAGATACCAGGGAGGTGACTGGGAGGAAATTGAAGGCATGGGCACCTGGATGCATCTGTGAGGGCAGAAACAGTCCCTCATGCATTAGACATATCTGACAGCATCTTTAAGTAGCATGGTCATGGTCATAGCATTCAGCACTGGGGGTGGACTTGAACAGGCAGGAGCATTTGGCTGCCATACCAACCCATCTTACCACTTTCCTTTGCCTGCATGTTTCCAGGACACCTGGATGTTCCCGAACATCCTGCTGTTTTATCCCAGAGCTGCCCGAGCCATCTTGGAGTACCGGATTCGCATGCTGGAAGGAGCTCTACTCAATGCACAGGAGCAAGGCTATGAGGTGGGGATGGAGATGAGGGGCTGAATGTCACCCAGAAGGATAGTCAGGCTTTCCTTGAGCCAGGGGCTGCGAGCTAGGTTTTGCCTGCACGTGGTAGACCAGGATGATCGTTTCAAGATGTGCTCAGTTGCTCCATGGATGTCTTCTCCCAACAGGGTGCCAAGTTCCCATGGGAGAGTGCAGCTACTGGCCGGGAGGTGTGTCCTGAGGACATTTATGGAGCCCAAGAAATTCACATCACCGGGGATGTTCTGATGGCCTTTGAGCAGTATTATTATACCACACAGGTAAAGGGAGTGTCTGTCACAGTTTAGACCCTGTTGAATCTCCCTCATGCTCCCTGTCTTTCTCTGGCTTTGGCTCCTTCCAGGACCAGAAGCTGTTCAGGACTGATGGAGGCTGGGAGCTGGTGAATGCCGTGGCTCAATACTGGTGCAGCAGGATGGTGTGGAGTGAGGAGGAGCAATGCTACCACATCCGAGGTACTTCTGAAGGGAAGGACTTGAGCTTGGACCTAGGGAAAGACACACAGTTAATGACTTAAAGGTCACATTGCCTGAAGTGAGGAAGATGCCCTCAGGATGAGGTATCTGCTGCCTGATGATCAGCCCTTTCTCAGCTAAATTATACAGTATCCTGGCTTATAAAGGACCACAAGGATCATTGAGTCTGTTGAGCTTTGTTAGTGATGATCACAGTGAGAACGCTTGGGCAGCGTGTCTCCCTCTGCCCAGTGGTTGTAGAGAATCCACACCCACACTGTACCAAAGAAAGGAAAGAGGTGAGGATGACTGTTCTAAAGTTATCAAAGCCAGAAATGCATTCTGGAAAAGAATGGACCCCAGACAATCAGAGAATCATAGTGATTTGGTTGGAAGGAACCTTAAAGATCACTGAGCTCCAACCCCCAGCCATAGACTGGTTGCCCCCCAGCAGGTCAGGCTGTCCAAGGCTCTTGGGCTGGCCTTGGGCTCTTCCAGGGATGGGGCACCCACAGCTTTTGGGCATTTCTATGTTAATGAAGCCAAATTCATGGGAGGGACGGCCACCTCAGGGATTTTGTTAAGAATTGAATCCATGGTGGGGCCTGTGGGAGCAGAACACCCAACATTGTCTTAGCTCAGAAGTAGGAGCTAGTTTCGGTTGAAAGGACTGTACTTTCATCAGGATATACTTCTGAGTCAGACCTCATATATCAAAAATACCAACACTCCTTCCACCACGTGAGTCAACATGGGCAGGCATCAATACAATGGAGGTGTTCCTGTTCTTGTGCCACTTCCCTGAGACACACCTTGGGTGTGCTGCAGAGTGAAGTGTCCCCTTCCTCTTCCCTTCCTCCAGGTGTCATGCCCCCAGACGAGTATCACCACCAGGTTGATAACTCTGCTTACACCAATGCCGTGGCACAGAGGAGGTAATGCACATGCTTTATTGAGGCTCTGGCCCATCTTTCTTCTCATCTGCCTAGCAGGAGGATGAGGCAGCAAGCACCTTTCTTCTCTTTCCATACCTCTATCCAAGCTGGTCTCCTCTGCCTTCCTCTGCATCAGCAGAAAGAAGTGGGTGTTCCCATGATGACACATCTGATGTCTCAGGTGTCTACGTTAGGCAGAGAGGAACTCCCTTTCTCAGCAGTGTCCCTGCAGCATATGTTATCTAAATAATTAGTCATTTGGAGATTCCAAGTCCCAGCAATGAAAGTTGTTACCCGAAGATGAGACTTTGATCCCATGTTCTTTCTAGGAAACTGCTTCTTTGCAATGCTCACTCTTTTCTTCCCTTCTTCCTCTTCCTCTCTCTCCAAGGGGTCCCAGCCACCCAACCATGACATGAAGCACTGTTCCTCGCTTCTTTTCAGCTTAAATTTTGCAGCCAGCATTGCTCGGGACTTCTTGATCCCTGTGCCAGAGGAGTGGGTAGAATGTGCAAAGAAAGTCAAAGTGCCCTTTGATGCAGTGCGGAAATATCACCCTGAGTATGATGGTTACAGCCCAGGTGAGCAGAGGGGCACGCAGTTCAGAAGTCTGCCTCTTTCTTTTTAACCCTGCAAAAGAGGAAAGGTGGGCTGAAACAAAACTCTTGAGCATTGTCTCTCTCAGAGCAGCATCTGTATTGCCAGTACAGAGGACTTGAATTACAGTGTTATTTTCTGCCTTTTAGTGGATGCTTTCTCATTATAGGACTCATCTAATTAAGAATTTGGGGTACAAAGAGGATAGGCCTTGAGAGTTTGAAACGCTGGGCTGCAGGCATGGTGGTGGCTATGAACCCATTGCTGACAGTTCCAAGGTCAAGTGCTGCGTATTGAATGTCCTGTAACCTCTGGTTACTGGAAGTCTGATACAAGAGGAAGAGCACGCCCAGCTTATTGCCCCTTTCCTCTGTGTCGTTTGCCTTTAGCAAGGCAGTGCTGAGCTGTCCCCCAGCTCTTCAGAAGATAATTTCACCACTTTCCCACTGTGGTGTGGATTCTTTTGGCCTAAGTTTACGATTCTGTGTCAGATCCATTCCCTCTATGAGTTAATTATTTGCAGCAGGCATGCAGTTGGGCTGAGTTCTGATACCTTCTCTCAGGTGAGCCTGTGAAACAAGCTGATGTTATCCTGCTGGGCTTCCCTCTGATGCACCCGATGCACCCTGAAGTGCGGAGGAACGACCTGGTGATGTATGAGCCTGTCACCGAGCTGAGTGGGCCAGCCATGACCTGGGTAAGGGGAACTCACCCACAATGTGGTCCTTTCTATCTGAGTCACTCGATACTAGTGGACACCGACCCACTCTGCTCTCTCCTGCAGAGCATGTTTGCAGTGGGCTGGCTGGAGCTGAAGGAGACGCAGAGAGCACAGGGCCAACTAAACAAGTGTTTCAGCAACATCACTGAGCCCTTCAAGGTCAGCTGCTTCCCCGTGGCCAGTGCCACTTGGTTCTGTCTTGTCTGCTCCCCAACAGGCCCTGTCTCACTGAGAGCACTTGATTATTGGATTATTGTACTGAGCTAGGTGGTTGCTTGCTCCATCTCCTCTGCATGCTTCCAAAAAGCAGCCAGGAGCCATCTTCTTCCAATCAAGCAACACAAAGCCGAAGTCCGTTGTCATGGTCAGCCCAGGATGCCCTCTGCCTGGGGGAGATGGGGAAGGGATGGGGATGTGGGACTTGGAGACCCATCAGAACCCAGCCACCAAACCTTGTTCCATGATGAGCAGCAGGATATGATCGTTGCAATGCCCCAGATACATGACAGCAACAGCAAGCATATACAAACACCTTTAACTGTGTGAAGAGTCCCAATACAACTGCTGACATTTTTCTTTTTGTTTCCTCTTCTCCCTGGAACAGATCTGGGTGGAGAACTCGGATGGGTCAGGAGCTGTGAACTTCTTGACAGGAATGGGTGGATTCTTACAGGCTGTCCTCTTTGGTTACACAGGGTTCAGGTGAGACCCATGTTGTATCTCGTTTAATTTCTACGCAACTATCAGTGGCTGGAAAACTCAGTATTCTTGTTGCTTGTGAAAAAGAAAGGCACCTGCAGTAACTAGTGCAGAGCATCTGCACTCTGCTCTGAATGAATTGCACTGTTAATGGGTGAACTGGGATTGGCCACTGGTGTTCCTTTTGCACATGGTTGTGGATGTCACTGAGGGGACAGTTTCTGATGCTGCTGAAGCAGCAAGAAACCATGGAAGATTATTTGCTGTTGTCACACCAAAGGGCCAAAAATAAGATCTGTACGAAAGGGAAAATGTCCTGCTGAGCCCCAGGAGCTGTGTGAGAAGGAAGCTGGTGTGCTGCTCAGATAATTTCAGGCCTGTGCCTCAGCTCTGGAGCAGCCCTGAAGCTGTAGCCACTGGAGTGTATTCTTAGAGTTTAATTGAGGATGGATCAGACTGAAGAGCCTTCTGGTTGCCAGCAAAGCCTCCTCACCCTAACAATGTGTTTTTACGCTGTGCCACTAGCTGAAAGCCTCAATCTCAGCTTGTGCACAGCTCAGTGTCTTCAGAATGCACTGTGTGCATCCCTGTGCACAGCCCACAGAGTAGGGACTGGGAGAAAGGATTCCTCTTTGCTACTTAAAGCTCTTCAGCCCAACCACCATGGAGCTGAGAGCAGATATCTACTGTTAGCTTTGCTGGTTTGTTTGTTCTTGATTTGCTTGGGTCTTGCTGAAGCTGAATGTGCATCCCAAAACCCCCAGCTGCAAACACTGTGGTGCTTTCCTGAGCTATTTGGGTGTTCTGTTGCTCGGTTTTAGTACGTGGCCAAGAGCCCACACTTGCGCTTTGTGTGGCTGCATTTCAATGGTGATTGCAGCCAGCTCTGCCTCCCACTGCTTATTCGTGCACTCCTTCCCCTCCCCGTCCCAGAGCAGGGTATTCTTGACACTCCGCCAGCAGGGCTGCTGCTAAGTCATCACCATAAGGTGAAAAAACATGGTGAATTTTGTGTATGCGTGTGTAGTTGTTTTTTTTTTTTTTTTAATCCAACCTCCAGACCCCAAATTGAGGAACAGAAACACCTTAGGGCACTGGGATGGGGTGTGACAACCCAAGTAGCCCTTCAACAGATGCTTGAAGATGTGGATGCCCCATCCCTGTGGCCTTGGGAATCCAAATCTGGTGCCATATTTAATCACTGGCAATCCTGCATGCAGCAGGGGGGTTGGAACTAGATGGTCTTTAAGGTCCCTTCCAACCCAACCACTCCATGTTTCTATGATCTTTAACTCTTCCAACCCAACCATTCTATGGTTCTATGATTAGTAGGTGTGTTTGGGATTTGCCTGGACATCTTTAGGATATACCTAGGACTTTTTCTGCCATTAAAAAAAAAAAAAAAAGGGAGTCATGGGAGAGGGCCCTGGAATACTTCAGGGTATGCTTGCTCCATAAAGCTGTTAGCAAAGCAGAGCTGACTTCCCCTGCCTTTCCAGGATCACAAAGACCAACCTTCGCTTTGACCCTGCATTTCCCAGTGATGTCAACAAGTTGGAAGTCACTGGTGTCTCCTACTTGGGCAGCAAGCTGAAGTTCACCATCACCAAGGAGGAGATAAGGATTGGAGCAACTAAGTGTCCCCTTCACCCTCCCCTGGAGGCAGTGCTGGAGGAATCTGGGCAGCGCTTTCCTCTGCATGAAGGTGTGACCTCTACCAGGGTTAACTCTGTGCACTGACCTTGAGGTTATCAAACAGCACTTCCTGCTCCATAGCTATTTAGGAAGTCTTTGCTTGAGCATGTTTCCTAAAAATTAAGGTAATACAAAGAAAAGCCATTCCTGTGTCTCACATGTGTTGTTTTGGTTCCAGGGCAGAGCATCTCCTTCCCCACAGCAGCTGGATGTATCCAGAGGGCACCCAGCAAAGGACTTTGAACCTCATGGGTCCGGGTTTTACATGATGGGCATCAAACTCACCTGTACTGATGTGTGAACATCCTGCACCATCCCCTTATTGATATAAATGTGCTGAGGCTGCCAAGGGAACACCCTGCTCTGTTAATTGTGAGTGTGAGCATTGCTTCTGCTGCAGGACTCACAGCACTGGGAAGTGGGAAGAGCACAAACAAAGATGGGTGCCTGAAAGTAATTAATTTAGACGCGTTTCCTAAACATCCCCCATTTGTTTATTCTTGAAAGATCTCCATCTCTACAGCAGCCTCCAGATGCACAGAGCTGTGTTCAGCTCTGGATGCCGTGCTCCACTCCTCCCACTCTCAAGTTTTACAGGGCTTTGGAGACAGTGTGGACAACAACAAGGCTGAAGCTGGGTGTTATTCAGACCCTGTGGGTTCAGGGCTGCATTCCCCAGCCACACACATTGGTTTGAGCAAGGGGAAGGAAGGGTGCTCCCTGCTCTGCTCTGTAAGCAACTCTTATAAAAAGCCCTGTGGCTGCTCGGCATGTGGAATCACTTAGGGGAGGTGACATGGCAGGTCCTCTGTCTTGTAATTAGAGCTGGCTCTTCATCAGGCCCTCATCAGTGGCTGCAGGGTGGGATGAACGCTCTCCGCTGTCCTCTCGCCCTGTGATAAGGGTCCTATGTGATGCTTATTGAGCAAGAGAGGGATAAAGTGCTGCTTGTGGTCCCCTATGGTATACATTCTATGTGGATGGCTGCTTTTGCCATTGGAGCAGTATTGCAAAGCACTGGGGGGATCCAAGCTGAGGCCATGCCTTAAGGGTGAAGATTTTTTCTGACCTTCTTGGAGCCATGGAGAAATTCCATCTGGAGTTAAGCGGGATGTACTGCGGGATGCAGCATTCTTCCTGGCTCACAGTCACCACAGGCAGATCCCCTCTGTCCTGGGTTGGGGACCTAATGGGGGCTTGTGCTTGTGCTGTGCTGCTGCAATGAGTTGGTGGGTCTCAGCTCCACCTGGGAGGGGTCTGCTTGGCCCAATTGTTGCCTTCCTGATCCAAAAAGTGTCTCCATCCCTACTGTTTCAGGCTGGCACACCCTAAAGCAATGTGGATTAAGGCTCCCAGCTATGAACTGGGACACTCTGAGTGTACAAAACACACATTTGGTTGGACTAGATGATCTTGCTGGTCTTACCAACCTTAATGGTTCTGTGATTTTAAGAGTTATATCATCTGTTAGCACAGCCCCTTCCCTGTACACGCGCGCACACACACATGCACACAGAGCAGATTTGAGATGGGTGAAATTATTTAATGATTTAAATGTTAAGCACCAAGGGAGAGATTAAAAAAAAAACAACCACTACCACCTACACCAAATCACCACACCAAATTACATAGCTGCCCCAAGAAGCATGGGGTTGTGCACAGCAGGGCAGGATCAGCAGCGCTACGGAGAGGCTTTTGCCCCTTGCCCACCGCTCACTTGTCCTCATCATCACTGGTGCTGAACTGGTTGCTGAAGAAGCCCATGGAGTCCTGGGCGAGCTTGGAGAGGTGGAGGACACCGGTGACCACCAGAGCAGTGAGCAGGATCGGCAGCAGCACGCTGCCAGCCGTGGCCAGCGCATTGTAGCAGCGGGCTTTGGAGCTGAAGCGCCGAGCAGCTTCCACATCCCCTGCCACCTTCCGGTCCCGTGCCTGCAAGAGCCGATATTAGGGGCAGCAGTGGATCCCCATGGGTACCTCTAGGCATCCTCCCAGCTTCCTCCAGCCTGTCCCTGGTCTCTCTGTCCAGCTGGAGGTGCTGCTGCTGGAGGACAGATCTGAGTGGAGACACCTCCAGCATCATTTCAGGTTGGATGTTAGGCTGCTTTTCCAAAAGAGCAGTGAGGCAGTGGCACAGGCTGCCCAGGGAGGTGGGGGTGTCACTATCCCAGGACACGGAGATGTGGCACTGAGACATGCAGTCAGTGAGCATGGTGGGGTTGGACTTGGAAATGTTAGAGGTCTTTTCTAACCTTAATGATTCTATAACCCTGAACAGCCCAACCTGGGACCCAGCCATGCCTTACCTTGACAGAGAAGGCAAGAGCCACAAAGCCGAGGCAGCAGAAGTTCATGTAGATGGTGTTGAAGATGGACCAGATGAGGTGGTCCCGGGGAGGTGCAGAAGTTACAGTGGTGGGAGATGAGTCCCGCTTGTGGGATGTCATGGGCAGGTAGTCCTCCCGTGGGTAGGATGTGTCCATGGCCACAGTGAGGGGCACTCCACAGCTCTCCGGCTCCACCAGCCTGGCTGTGGGAGTGGGGCTGAGCAGACCTTTTTATATCGTCCTCGTCTTCAGCCCAGCCTCAGCTCCTCTATATATAAATCAGAGAAATTACAGCCCTTCCCAAGCTGTGGTTATCAGAAATGCTTGGCTGGAAGCTAGGAGAAACAAAGTTGGTTTTGTGAGCCTGCCTTCCTTCTGCATCAGGGGCACGGGTGGCTCCAGCCCTGCTGTGGGACAGAGTGGGAACTGAGTGGCTATCACTCCCAAGAACATGACACAAGGCAGTATGGAATAGCTCACAGTGCTAGTGCCTCCATCAAGCCCTTCAGGTCATGTTGGCTAGAAAATCCCTCATCCAGAAGTGTGATCAGGATACTAGAACAGTGTGCTGAACTTGGCTGGAGCTTCCCCTGTACCAGACCTGCTGTCATTGAGGATGTGTTTGTGTAATCACGCGCCTCTCACTGCTGCTCAGAGCAATTGCTTCAATAAGGGAAGATTCCTGTTGCTACACAGCCTGGGGTAATGGAACCAAGTGCTCTTAAAAGCTCCACATTTCTCTTTCCCCCAGCCTCACAAGAATGGAATAAACAGGAATTTAATGCTAAAATGCCTTAGAGTTACTTCTAGTAAAGTGCTTCATGGTTCCCTGGAGGAGATGAGGCTTTGTAGGAAGATGGGGGGTTTATGGCCAGAAATGCATGGAAATTTGCTTTTTCCTTCTTCTGCTGTGCTGGAATCTATAGGACAAAATGTGGCTCATGCTGAAGATGCCGGCAAGGCAGTGGGGGTGGAGGAGGATGTCATGAAGGTACTCCAGGTCACTCTCCTCCATCCATGCTGTGAATAATGCAACAGGAGCAGGGCTTGGTGAGCAGGAGCTTTATTTGTAGCAGTGCCAATCCACGCATACATTGTAGCTTGGCTAAATACCAGCACAGCCTAGGAGAAGTGGAGAAAGGAGCTCCACACCCATCCCTGCCATGCCACATGCAGCGAGGGGACAGGGCTTTGCACCCCTTCCCCAGAGCAGAAATTCTTTGGGACACATTTTTGGTGGGTGGGAGTTATGGGGGTGAGCACAGCACAGGACAGTGGGATGCTGGCAGAAGTTCTGTATCTATCTGCTGCTCAGGAGCACGATGACAACGGTGATAGTGGACAACACACCAATGGCTATCAGCACAGAGAAGACGATGTTCAGAACCTTGGCCCAGGTTCCATACCGCCGGGCACCTTCCAGGTCCCCGAGCACTTTGCAGTCGCGGGCCTAGGGGGACAAATAGGGATTCAGTGGGGGAGACTCAACTTCACTGATGGGGTAGGGAAGGTGGGGGACCCAGCCTGGCTTTGTGGGGCTGTCAGGTGGAGCTGGGACATCATGGAAGCTTAGTGGGACCTTGTGGGAAGCAGGGGTTGAAGATGCCCATGTGCTCCCACACAGTCCCACATTTTGGGGTTGGAAGGCTCAGAGGGGTGCAAACTGAGAGGGTGCCAAGGAGGGCAATTGAGGTCACCAAATTGGATGGTCCCAAATCAGGTAGTAGTCATGATATGTTAAATGGCAGTTCTGGGTCAGGAAGGATACATCAGTTTAGAGCTGGGGCTACTGTGAATTGGGTGGGACAGGGGTTGGTGTTTTCAATATGGGCAGCATTAGATTAGACTGGGCTCAGAGGATCATGTTATGTTGGGATGGGTCGGGAGCACTGTGGATTCAGTGGATCATGGGTTGGGGGGGTCAGGTTGAGCAGCACTGGACTGGGGTTCTTGGGGTTGGAGGATCGTGTTGTACTCAGATAGGTAGGGAAGCATCATAGATTTAGTGAGTTATGGGTTGGGGGACCCAAGCTTGCATGTTGGGTTGGATGGGGTCAAGTTGGGCAGCACCAGATTGGGGTGCCCACAATTGGGAATCGTATTCTGTTGGGATGCATTGGGGAGCATTGTGGACAGGGGTGGACTTGGGTTGGAAAGTTCCAAATAAGAGAGTTGGGTTGGATGGAATAATACTGGGGGCCACCAAATCAGAGGGCATCAAATGGAAGTGGAGGGTGTGGGTTGGGGGGAGATCAGCTTGGGGGACCCCGAGTCGAGGGATCCCAGGACGGGTTGGCAAGGAGGTCAGGGGTGGGGGACTGGGGGATCTCACCTTGATGGAGAAGATGAGCGAGGGGAAGCAGAAGCAGCCGAGATAGGCGAGAGCGAAGCCCACCAGAACGTTGAAGAGGGACCAGAGGACGAAGTCGCGGGGCTGCTCTTGGGGGACGCTGGAGAGGGGCGGTCCCCGCCCGGGTGGGTGCAACGGGATGCTCACCTCCGCCTGTTGCGGCTTCATGGCCGGGAGCGCAGCGAGGATGGGAGGGAGGTGGGAACTCTGCGGAAAATGAAACCTAGCCCCGCACCGCCCCTGCGCCGGCCTCCGGAGCTCAGGCGGAGCAGTCAGCCCTCTATGGGCTCGGCGCCTCGTCCACCTCCCCTCAGACCCCGGGTGTGGGTGCACTGACCGCGTGGGCGCAGGGAGACCTAGCGTTCTGCCAGGGAGCGAAAGGGAGGGTGGGGGGGGAAGGCAAAGCGGCTTCTGAGGAACTGGAAAACTGCCAAAGGGAGGAGCAGAGGAGGAAAGGAAGAGCGGGACCCTAAGTTTCCCCTTGTAGAGAGTCTGTGGCTATCTGCACGGGATGATGCAGAAACGAGTCTGGCTTTGGTGGCTCTGAGCAACCTTAGGAGCTGCAGGAAGGCAAGTTACTGTACTGCACAGACACATCACTTTCTGCCCAAGCATCTTGTGTCAGCTGTAGCGCAGCCCCAACCTCCTGAACCCTAAAACCACAACATTTCCAGACAGAAGTAGAACAAGGAAAAAGCTTTATTTGTCTTGAGCTCACCCCAAGGTCTCATCCCGAACAGAGTCACCTCAGCGGGGGTGGCACCAGGACACTGATGGGAGTAGGGATAGAGGGGAGGAGGACTGGGACCACAGCAATGCTCCTCTTCATCAGGCCAGATCAGGGCTTCACAAAGTAGAACGGAAGGTAGAGAATCACCAGGATGATGGAGAGGATGGTCACGATGAGTCCCACACAGAGCGCAATGATGTTAAAGATCTTGGCTGTCCTCCCGTAGCTGCTGGCACCAATGAAGTCCTTGGCAATTATCCTATCCCGGGACTGCAGAGGGGGAGGAGGGAGGTGGTGAAACCCAAAACATCAAAGTCTCTGTCAATCATCATCACCCGACCACCCTCACTGGCATCCATAGGGTGTCAGACTCTCAGGAAGCCAACCCTGATGGGAAACAGCTCACAGCCATTTAATTAATGGCTAATTAAAAGTCAGCAGTCTTGTGCTGCCAGCTCCTCCTGTTGGAGGTAGAGAGCTGTGAGGAAGGCCAGAGATCCTAGCATGCCTGTGTGGTGCTTCTTGGGGCGCTGGCAGCTGCTAACCTTTCCTCCCAGAGTGCTTGTTAAGGATGATTAACTTTAAAGATAATAAAGGGAAGGTACATGGGGAACAGCTGCTCCTTATTGGAAGTAACAGTGGAAGGACAGAGGGAGGGAGTAGGAGCTGAATTTGCAGTTTCATGGAGGTGCCAGCTGGTTTGGGGCTCACTTATGGATAATTTAGAGGAGCAAAAACAATTGTGCCTACTGGGAGCCCCTCTTCTTTGGAAGAGATGGCAAAGCACCCAAAGGTAGCAGGTCAACCTCCAAAGGTGGGTGCCAGGGAAGTTAGATACGGGGCACTGTGGTAGGAATGGATGTGGCAGGAGGAAGCAAGGTAATGATGAGGTCTGGGGCAGCATGGGACAGGATGTGAGAAGGTGGGATGGGATTGGGGAAGGTGAGATACTATGGGATGAGACAGGATAGGATTGAGATGAAGAATGGTGGAACAGGACAGATGGGATTAGAAGGGATGGAGGAAAGTGAAACACAGTGGGAGAAGATGGGATGGAATTGGGATGGGATGAGGAAAGGTGGGGTAGGACAGATGGGATGGGATTGGGAATGGATGAGGGGAGGTGAGACATGATGGGACAAAATGGGGGAAGCTGGGACAATATAGGATGGTAAAGGGATGGGACAAGGAAAGATGGGACATAATGGGACACAATAGGATGGGACTGGGATGGGGGAAGTTGGGACATGATGCAACAAAAGGGGATGGGATTTGGGAGCCGCAGCATGGAGGGCAGACCTCAAAGCTAAGCAAGGAGGTGCTGGGTAGAGTTTTGCCTTACCTTGATGGAGTACGAGAGTGCACAGAAGCCCAGGCAGAAGGCGTTGCACAGCACGAAGTTAAAGAGGGACCAGAGTATAAAATCCCTGGGGGGCGGCTGTGGTGAGATGGGAACAGTGGTGATCATGTTCTGCCCATAGGGCGGCACGTCGATGCTGGTGTGCTGCGGGTAGCTCTGCATGGTGCCAGAGGGCAGCTGCAGTGCCTATGCCCTTCCTTATAGCCTTGCCTATTATAGGTGAGCAGAAGGGTTTGCTGGGGTGGGGACACCCCGCCTGGCACCGGGGCGTGGGCAGTTCTGATCCTATCAGGGACAAACTCCCTTTGGGGATGTTGGGAATTGTTTTATGCCCACGGTGCCAGCGTGGGCATGGTGATCTGAAAGCTGCAGTACACATGGCATGATGGCGCAGGACAAAGTCTCTTGGGGCAGGTGTCTGGGGGGATGTGGGGTGCATGGGATCCCGGTGGGCATGGGATGAAAGCAGCTGTGGGTTTTGAGGCCCACTCAGGCAAGGGCTCGTGCCTGGAGCATCACCTGCCCACTGTAGAGGCCACCTGCGTGCAGACCCAAGTGCTCCCCAGTATTGCTCATACCAAAGCTATCAGGTCTTTTCCTGGCATCCTCTCAAGTTAATGAGGATCATTAAGTCACCGTGGTAATTAAGTGGAGAGTCTGGAAGGGAGGGGAAAGGGTGTGAATGGAGGAGGGGATTTCGGAGCTGGTTTTGTGCTCAAACTCCAGCACCAATCCACAGCTGTGCCCCCAAAAAGCTGCAGGTGCCCTTCTCCCTGTAAATGGGGTTAATTGCTATCTTATCTTAATGAGCTTGGCGTGAACATCTTGCTGGCATCACCACCCCTCTGTGCATTTTCCTCTATTTGCTTTTGCACCCAAACAAATGATGGGATGGGAATATATTGGGGAGTCCTGGGGGTGTGGGCAGAGTTAAGGGGCCGAGCAGAAGAGGGTTGGGGTGAGAAGCAAAGATGCAGGGGTGGCTTTTCCATGCAAAGGGGGAAAGTGTCTGCAAAGTGAGGTTGGGGTTTGGGGTCTGCTGGATGTCTATTGGGGTGGGTTATGCAGAGAGCCGAGCCTGCTGCCTGCTCCCTTCTTGTCTCTGCTGTTAGGGCAAGGAGTTCAAGGCTCGTTGGCCACCTGCCAGCAGCCTGGATCAATTGCTGCAGGAGGAGGAACAATCTGCCCTTGTCCTGCGAGCATCCCTGCTCTGTCCATGCATCCCCATCTGCCCACTAGTGCCTGGCCCCAGGGAGCATCCATGCATGCAAAATCCCTATGGTGCCCATTAGGGCTGGAGATGTGCTCCCCAGGGGATGTTGGGATGTCAGGATGTCACAGTTTTGGCTGCAGGATGTACTGGGTTTTGCATGTGACAACAGATCAGGGAGGTGCATTGGAAAAAAAAAAAAAAAAAAACATGATTTTTGGGGGGTTTTCAGCTAAATCTTTGTGTGGCCAGCGGGGATGGAGTGAGAGGAGGGGAGCGCTCAGGGAGGGCACGATCTAGCACATGTCTGTTTGCTTTTACGGGAAGAAGAGTAGGAATCAATGATTCACTCAGCCGAGGCTGCCAGGGATCCTGCAACAAATGGCTGTTGTGTTTTGCAGGAAGGATTTCTGACATCCTGCACATGAGTGCAGCTTCTTGGCAGGAGTCATTGTTCTTCAGGGAGAAATAAAGAAAAAGGCTTTCTCCATCCAGCCCTGTGGGGCCCCGGCCCTTACAGAGCTGGGGAGCAGGAAGCCAGGCCAAGCACATAACTGAACCCCCGCCAGGTCAGCTCTGTCCAGGACTATTGGTCGGGTGCTTGGGGCCTTTCCGGGTTCATTTTCAATGTGGCTGGAGCTGTAGGCGTGATTTCTGCCTTGCTGCAAAGCTGAGATGGGAGTGGTGGTGTGATATCGAAAAGCTCCAGAGAGAAGGGAAGAGGTATCGTCATCTCACTTTCCCTTCAAAGCATTTCAGGGAAACACAGCATCACTGGAGTTTGGGATGGGGCCACCCCACCCACAGTTTCTTCATCTCCAAATGAAACCCACTCATGCATACTACCAGAGATGGGGTAGGGGATGCTTTCTGTGCCCTTGTCATTGCCACGGTCCATTTTGCCCAAATCTGTGAGCTGGATTCACCCAGCTGGGTCCTGTTGCATCCTGGACATGGTTAGTGAGCATGGTGGTGATGGGTTGATGGTTGAATGAGATGATCTTTAAGGTCTTTTCCAACCTTAATCATTCTATAATCCCTGTCATGCTCCAGAGGGTGACAAAGGGGACAACTGTTCAATAGCATCACTGTGGAGGCTCTCCTGCTCCCACCCCTACCCTCTAAAAAAGAAGAGCCATGAGACAAAAGTGACAGATACCTTTATTGAGGTTTGTTTTTTTTTTTTTTTTTTTTACTGATGAGGTGCTTCCCTTAGGGCTTTTACAGGCACTTGAAATAATAGCAAAAAGGCAGACTGAGGTGGCAAGCAGCAAAGTCTGTGGGTTCCCATTCCTGCAGCCAGTTTTTGCAGGATCCTGCCAGAGCAAGGAGTGTCTCAAGGCGGTTTTCTATATGGTGACTGGAGAAGGGATTAGAAGAAGCAAGGAAAGCATGGCCCCAAGTGAAGCTCTGCCCGTGGAATGCAGCTAAGTGGGTCCAATGAATTCGGGGTGTTGCTGGTGGTGGTTGAAGATGTTGGCTATCACGATGGTGCCACTGGCAACCAGGGCGATGACGAGGATGATGAGGAAGATGTTGATCAGATGGGCCGTGATGTTCAGGTACTTGGCAGTGGAGCCATAACTGAGCGCCCCGCTGTAGTCACCCAGGACTTTGCGATCTCTGGACTGGGGAGACCAACAGGAGAGTCAATGGGGGCTGGGGGGGTGCTCTGTGGGACGCATGGGGCAACCTGGGGTTAGGGCTCTGTATGGCCTACAGGGCTCCTTGTGGTGATGGCGGGCCTGTGGGTTCCATGAGACACCCCAGAGTAGGGTTTTTTTGGAAGGTCTATGGGTTTCACCAGGGTCAGGGGCTCAGTGGAGTTCATAGGGTACCTCCGAGCTGGGGCTTTTGGAGATCCACAGGGTTCTGTGGGGTCCACGTGGTACCCTGAGACTGGAGGTTTTGAGGGCTCCATGGTTCAAGGATCCCTGAATCTTTGTGGGGTCCACAGGCACCCTGGCAGAAGAGATCTGGGGGCTCCATGGATCTTTTTGAAGCCCGGGGCTATGTAGGGTCCAAGGGGCACCCAGGGCTAGGACTTCTGGAGCTCCACAATTCTGTTTGGAATCGGGGAGCTCTGTAAGCCACACGGGGGTCCTCCATGACCGCCTCCCGCTCCTTCCCCCCCCCCCCCCCCCCCCCCCCCCCCCCCCCCCCCCATTCCTCTCCAGATGCCATCACTTCCCCATCCCCCGTCCCCCCCTTTCCCATTCCCCAACCTTCACGGAGAAGACGAGCGCCAGGAAGCCGAGGCAGCAGACGTTGGCATACAGCGTGGTGCACAGCGACCAGGCCAGGTGGTCGCGGGGAGGAGGCACCACGGGGTTCTCCACCGTCACCACCGTGCTGCGTGTCTTCCCCTCCATGTCCAGCCCGTCCATTAGGGGCTCGTACGGTGGAATCGCCGGACCCGGAGTGCGGACCCGCTCCATGCTGGGGCTCGGGGGCTATGAGGCTCTGGGGCGGCGCCGGGAGGGGAGGATGGAGGGAGCTAGTTTCGTTTCCTCGCAGCCCAGTGATGGGGAGGGCCGGGCGAGGGGGAGGGAAAAAAGGGCCGCCCGCCCCTTGTGAACGCCAGGCGCTGGCCCCGAGGATGTCCCCTACTCGGCCTCCACAGGTCAGGCTGTGGGGTGCGGGGCTGGTAGAGAAGTAGTGAGGTCGGGGGGTCAGTGAAATAAAGCCTAAACCGTGTCCCCACCGCGTGGCAGTGGGGTTCCCGTGGCTAGTGATGAGCCTGGATGTTTGGTGAAGAAACCCTATATCAATTCTCCACCATAGGGCACTGGGACCCCCATCCCTGAAGTTGACTCCAGGCAGTTAATGGAGAAATCCTAAATTGTGTCACTGTCAAGAGGCAATAGGGCTCCCATCCCTGTGCTTAAGCCTGGGTGCTTGGTGGAGAAACTCTACACTGTGTCCTTGTGACTCCATCATCACAGAATCACAGAATGGCCAGGGTTGGAAGGGACCTCAAGGATCATGAATCTTCAACCCTCCTGCCACATGTAGGGCCAGCAAACTCCCCATTTAATGCTAGACCAGGCTGCCCAGGGCCCCATCCAATCTGGCCTTGAACACTTCCAGGGATGGGGCATCCACAACCTCTCTGGGCAGCCAGTTCCAGCACCTCACCACTCTCTCTGTAAAGAATTTCCCTCTGACATCCAACCTAAATCTCCCCCCGCCTCATCTTAAAACCGTTTCCCCATGTCCTTCAGTTAGATACCCTTTCAAAGAGTTCATTCCCCTCCTCTCTGTAGGCTCCCTTTAGGTACTGAAATGCTGCAATGAGGTCACCCCACAGCCTTCTTTTCTCCAGGCTGAACAAGCCCAGCTCCTTCAGCCTGTCCTCATAGGGGAGGTGCTCCAGTCTCCTGATCATCTTCGTGGCCCTCCTCTGGACCCTCTCCAACAGCTCCCTGTCTTTTTTGTACTGGGGGCTCCACACTTGGACGCAGTACTCCAGATGGGGCCTCACAAGAGCAGAGTAGAGGGGAACAATCACCTCCCTGTCCCTGCTGGCCATCCCTCTTTTGATGGAGCCCAGGATACCATTTGCCTTCCAAGCTGCAAGGGCACACTGCTGGCTCATATTAAGTTTTTCATCTATCAAGACCCCCAGGTCCTTCTCCACAGGGCTGCTCTCAAGGACCTCTCCTTCCAGTCTGTAGGGATGCCTGGGATTCCTCCGGCCCAAGTGCAAAACTCTGCACTTTGCCGTGTTGAACCTCATCAGGTTCACCCGGGCCCACCTTTCCAGCCTCTCAAGGTCCCTCTGAATGGCATCCCTTCCTTCAACCGTGTTGACTGCACCACTCAGCTTGGTGTTGTCAGCAAACTTGCTGAGGGTGCACTCGATTCCGTCATCGATGTCATTGATTAAGATGTTAAAGTCCCAAGAAAGACTACCTGAACATCATGTAGTACTGGGAGCCTTGAGGTTGGGTTCAGTGTTTGGTGGAAACCCTACATCGTGTCCCCACTGGGAGCCTAATTCCTAAGGTTGACCCCAGGTGGAAACCCTACATCAGGTTCCATTCATGTGGCACTGGGAGCACAAACCCCTGTGCTTTACTCTAGGCACTTGATGGAGAAAACCTACATCACAGCCCCCACCGCACGGTGCTGGGACTCCTTTCCCCCCACGTTCCTCATGCTCTCTCCTGGGGCTGTCCCAAAAGGCACTGGAGGCCAAAGCCCAGCCCTACATCCAGCTCTGGGGAAGTACCCAGGGGAGGCCATGGGGTGCTGCTCCCTGGGGACAACAACATGAATTCCCCTAATGTCCAGTTAGACTCCACAGCCGATAGGACAGCTATAAGAGCTGCACTGCATGGTTCTCTAAATTGCACCTAATTATGAGCCAATTAACCCTCTGCACCTGCCCGTGAGCACGGCGGGGACATGAAGCCTGGAGCACGGGTGCCCTCTAGTTTCCCCAGCTGCAGATGTCGTCTTTTTTTTTTTTTTTCCTCGTTGCTGAAATCTTCCTCTGTTTTCGTTTCCAGTCCCGCACTGCAGCAAGGACGAGAAAAAATTCCATTTGCCCTGGAAAGGCTGGGCAGCAGGGGTGCAGTGAGTTGTGGGCGGTCTCAGCCTAGCTGAGCTGTGGGATGGGATGGAGACTGGGGTGGGGCTGGGATGGGAATGGAGATGCGATGCAGAAGGGATAGGGATTGGAATGGGATGGAGATGGGATGGAATGGAGACTAGGTTAGCGATGAGATAGGGAGGGGAATGTCTAACGATGAGATGGGTTGGCATGGGTACGGGACGGGGATAGAAATGAGGATGGGGATAGAGTTGGGATGGGATGGGGCTGGAAAGGGAATGGAGATGAGATGGAAAGAGGACGAGATAGAAAGGGAGAGGAAAGGAACAGATCCCAGCACGCACCGCGGCCACTCCCCGCTCCCCGGCCGGGCCCCGCAACCCCTCGGTGCGGCACGGAGGGACGTACCAAACCTGCGCTGGGGGGCGATGGGGTAAAGAGCCGGTCCGCACGCGCCTCGTCTCACCCGACCCGCCGCCCCCCTCGGGCACGGACAGCTCCGTCCCTCCCGCCGCCTCACACCCCCGCTCCCTCACACTGCGGGGACCGCGCCGGGGCCGCTCCCCCCGCCGCCCCTATGGCCCGGCCCGCGGCTGCCGGCCTGTTGGCGTGGCGACGCGCTGTGCCCCCTCCGGCCCCGCCCCCGCGGCGCTCCTATTGGCCGAAACTCCGTCCCAGCGGGTGGCTATTAGCCAACGCTCCCGTCGTTCGGCCGGGGCGGTGTCGTTCCATTCATTCGCCGCCCGGCCGTGTCCGCTGCCGGCGCGACGGGGCGGCGGCGATGCACCGGGCAGCCGCGAGCTGCCGCCGCCGCCCCCCCGCTGCCGGCCCGTAGCGGCGGGCGGCTGGGGTAAGGGGGGCCCGATGGGCCGGGGCTAGGCCGGCGGCGGGCCGCGGTGGCGGCGGCGGGCGGTGATGCCGCGGCTCCCGGTGAAGAAGATCCGCAAGCACCTGAAGCTGCTGCTGCTGCTGGCGCTGCTCACGTCGGCCGCGTGGTTCACATACCTGCACATCAGCCTGGTGCGCCAGGGCCGCGCCCTCCGCCTGCCCTTCACCTACGGCAGAGGTAACCCCCCTCCCCTGGGTTTGGGGTTATCCCCCGGGGCTCGCTCCATCCCTCGGTGGGGTCATCTCGGGGCGTGGGGCAGGCTGCGCGTTGGGCTTGGGGGATAAAACTCATTTCTCATCAGTCCACACCCTGATGGTGAGGATAGAAGAGGGGTTGGCGGTTGAATTGGGTGGCAGGTGGCTTTTGCAGGGAGTCATGGTGATCTGGGGCCGGCCACATCTTGGGGTGCGGAACCTGAAGTTGGCACAGCTGTGTGAGCCTGCAGATTTGGGGCCTTGTGGTGCAGCGGGTGCCGTGGGGTTGGTGCCAAGGAGGGATCTGGAGAATGGGGTTTGGTCCGAGGAGCTCTGTTTGTGTTCTTTGCTGAAGGATCATTGGGAAGCCTTTGTTTTGGGGAGCAGAGTGGGAAATTGTGCTTGGAGGGAGGATGTGCTGGGTGAGGACTGTGCTCCAGAGTTTGGGCTCTCTCCATTCAGTGGTATAAAAGATGCTCAGAGACGTGGCTACGTGTCCTGGTCTCAAGTCCCGTAGGGATGGGGTGATGTTGTCTACAGTGAGAGGTGGATGGAGGCTGTCTGTGCAAGAGAACCCAAAGGGTGTCCAAGACTCCATGCCCCGCTGTGGAGGATGCTGCCTGCCTTGCGTCAGCCACCAGAAGATGCTTGGAAAGGTTAATTACTCATTAAATAAAGCAGCACCGAGCTGATGTGTCTTCACCCTCCAGAAAGCACTGGGTGTGAATTCCTGACAGGAAGTAAGGGGGGGGCAGGCCAAAAGGTATGTGCTTGGGGTATTTGGGGTGTTTTTGGGTATATGTGTCCCTATGGTGTCCCTGTGGCCTGGATGCTGCTCAGATGTGGTCAGTGACTTGGCTGGGAAACATGCTGGCATTCTGTCCCTGATAAAATGTTCCCCCTTCTCTTATCTTCTGCAAGTAGATAATTACCCTTCTCTGCCTAATTTAACACACAGGTTCCTCATCTGAAATAATGAGGCCATTACAGTGTTCTCCCAGCTGGAAACCGTGCTGAGTCAATGGGGTGGAAATGCTCTTGTGCTAGGTGGGAAGGGAAAAAAAGAAAAAAAAAAAAAAAAAGGGGGGGAAGAACAAGAAGAAAAAAATGATAGCAATGATGTAAAATGGCTCTTAGCAGTGCCTGAGGTTCCTGGCTGGCCCTGCCACCTGGAGCAGTGACTGAACACATGTGGCTATTGCCAGTGCTGATGGACGGGCTGGGATGTAGGTTTGGGGAAAGCTTTGGTGGCACCTGCAAGGTGAGATGCTGGTGTGTGCCTTGGGGAATACCTCTTGGGGCTGCTGGCAGGCAGAGTGACACAGAGAGCTCTCCAAAGTGCTGTGAGCAGGGGTGGCACTGGCTTGCGGGGAACCGAGATAATAAATTGCATCATGGTTGGGTTGGAAAGGATCTTCAATCCCATGCAGTTCCAACACCTCTCCATGGGTGGACCACCTCCTGTGGACCAGGTTGCCCAGTGCCCCATCTAACCTTGAGCACCTCCAGGGATGGGGAACCCACAGCTCCTTGGGGGAGTTGCCAACACCTCAATATCGTCTTCTGGGACCTCTACCCGGACTGCTGAACCTGAGCTGGCAGCACTCTGCCTGTCCCTCCCCTGATGGCTTTGGGACTACACGTGGCACCCCTAGCACATCTCACAGACTGATGTACTGCAACACTGGATGCCTTTATTCCCTCCTTTAGAGGTGCAGGTAGGGGAGAGGATTAGACAAGAGCCCTTTGAAAAGCTTCGGTGGCCCATGCATAGGGGCAGCGGTGCCATCCATGGGCCGCTTGGTTTCCCCTTCGGCCTCTCTCTGAGAGAACTATCCTCCTCGCCTTGAATTGGCTCTTTGTGAGCACTCCCACCCTGCCAAGAGCTGCTGGGAGGGGAGGAGGAGGCAGGCAGACAAGTGAGCCCTGTCCTTGGGCAGCCAGGGCTGTCTCAGGGCTTTGGGGCTGGGGAACAAAGTGGCACGGAGCTAGGAAACATGGCAGCACAGGTCCAAGCCATGGGGCTGGAACAGCAGCAAGGCTGGATAACTGAGTGAATGCATTACACTGCATTTATCCCTTTGCGTCCCCCATTGTGGTGTCTGGAGGGGCTGAGAGCTCGTGTTTATGATTGCTGGGTTTCAGCAATCCCATCTCTGTGATGGGTGATGCTCACCCCTGGGCTTGTCCCCAAGGGAAGTCACCATGTCTCTGGCTGCGTGGTGGCACTTGGTCCTCTTTGAGCCATCAAAGCTCCATGGCCAGGAGCTCAGCTGTCCCTTTTTAAGCGCCTGTTGCCTTGGCAATGGCGGGACTGAAGGGATTTGGGCTGGACAAGGAGATTGATGGAAGCTGGCTGCTGACTGATGACTGCGACATGAAGGGAGGTTTGGGGGGAGAGGGGGAGGAGGGGTATGCATAGGCCCCCTTGTCACCTCCTTGAGGGAGGCTCTGCTGGATTGGATGCTAAATTTAGATTAAAAGCGAAGGAAAGGATCAAAGCACCCAAGACTGGTGGAAATGGGGTGCTTTGGAGGACCAGTGTGGTTAGACCACAGGGCTTGGTGTTGGCATCTCTGGCTGGTGTCGTCTTCATGTCCCCCATCTTTCCCATATGGGTTGAGCTGCTGCTTCCCAGAGCATCCATTGACCAAGAGGATCAGACTGGAAGGATCCAGCCCTGAAGGCACCTTGATGACTTTGGTAATCAGCGCAGCCCAGTGTGCTGATGTTTTGGGGATGGGTAGAGAAGGGGCTGATGGTGATTGAGTTGGAGGAAGACGTACATTGCTTTGGCATCTCCCTTTCTGCAGGGTGTTTTCACTGCAGGATTGGGAAGATAAGAGCAGATGCTCCCCTCTGGGGAGATCTGTCAGTCGGGAGCACCAGGCTACATCTGCCTGTTCCCATTTGCCTTGCTCTGGGTGTGGGTCGCTCATGGGGTGGCTGCAGCATCCTTCACCCTGAGTGCTAATGACTTCTGGGGTGCAACCAACCCCCAAATCCCTCAGTTTGGCTGGAGCCCTGGAGACTAGGGAACCAAACCCCATCAGCCAGTAGACATTTAGGAACTGCATTCTGTTTCTAGCACAAGATTTCAGGGGCTTGAGTGCGAACTCAGTATTTTACGTCCATATCATTTGCCCCGAACCCCACCTGGTTGGGGTACTGAGGAATTTGGTGCTGGGCTGCATTTCTGGCAGCACCAAGATGTTTGGCACTGTTTGGGGAAGGAAGAGGATAGGGGATGCTCTTCCCCAGCAAGCATCTCGCAGGCAAGAGCCTTTAATTCTTGCTGCTGCCTTGCTGCAGGACCAGGAGCCAAACAGTACTGCTCCATAGTGCCTTTTGTTCCTGCTGTGGGGCTGGGTTTCCAGCGGTGTTGGCTTTAGAATGCAGCAGGGCTTTGGAAGGGGAAAGAGGGCTCTGGGGCTGGAGGGTAGGAAGGTTCATTCTCAACTTGCTGCTTGCTGGTAGTGATGCTGGCCTTTTCCTCCCTTTCTCAAGGAGGGGGTTTATTTTCAGTTGCAGCTGGGCATTTGTTTTTTTGGGCAAAGACTGTCCTTGACTTTCCTATCCAGTATTTCAATTGCAGAAGAACAAACATTGCTGCGGAAACCTTCTTCCTTGGCTTTGCTGGTGCTTTTTTTCTCCTCCTGGCTTGCAGCCACTTCTCTGAGCACACCCCATCCCTGCTGAGGAGACATGTAATGGCAGAGAAGGGGTACAGGTGAAAACATTGGCAAGAGCATCTCTTGCTGTGATGTCCCCATAGAGGGCTCTTCCTGGGTGACATGGTTGTCTCCAGGGTGGGCTGGGGGATGTAGGAACAGCTGCTGCTCTGCTTCCTCCTTGCTGATGGGGGGTCTCAAGCTGGATCTAGTCCCACTCTTTCCTGCAACACTCCCCATCCCCGCTGAGGCTGAGACAGGCCTGTGGGAGGAACGATGTGGGTTTGAAGACATGGGAGGGAGGCAGGGAGCTGCCAGCAGAAAGCTGGGGCTGCCAGGGCTGAATAATGGCTGAGAGCAGAATAAGGGGGCTTTAGAGCTTAATTTCCTGTTCCCGTGCTGCAGCCGCGCTGAGGATGGGGTTTGTGCTGCCATCTCCAAGGAGACGTGGGCTGTGCGGCTGCTCATATGCTAATGGCATCAGTACGCGTACATCAGGAGGCTACTGGGTCTGGAGGCTCCCCAGGCCTGTCCTGGGGCAGGCAGGAGCTCCCCAGAACTATCAAGTGAGATGATGAAGAACATGGGAGAGTCTCGTTGACCCCTGCCTTGCTGTTCTTGCTGTCCATAGGAACCTAACACTGCCTCTGGGTTCCTCACTAGGCTGTGGGGTTGGCATAGAGTCCCCTTTAGGGAGCTGCCACATCCCATGCTGCTTTTGAGGTTGTGGTGGGCATGGAAGAGGCTGCCTAGGACAGTGGGATGGCCCTGAGATGCCAGAACTCAAGAAGGCAGTGCTCTTAGATAGTTTGACTCTTTGTTGCCTTACGTGGAGCCAGGGGTTGGACTTGATGGTCATCATGGGTCCCTTCCATC